ATTTTTTTTTTAATTTTGAATTTTTTTTCTTGGACCAAACTGAAGGGCTGCTTTTTTGTAATTTGTTTTTCAATTTTCAAGATAAGCTAATATCTTGAATTGAAGTTTTAGTAAAAAAAAATCACAAGAAAATGCCATGAGTCTTAGGTGTGTGTGTTAAAAAAAAAAAAAAACACTAATTCAGTTTTTGGTGAAAACTAAATTTTTTTAAAAAAAAAACGAACCGAGTCAAAATAATTTCGGTTTAGATTTTTTTTCAAATTTTTTTACGTAAAACCAAATCTAAATTATTAATTCGATTTTAATTGACTAGTGTTCATGTTCATCCGTAATATTTTTTACATTTGGAGGCTTATGATTGTGCAACCTTAGGAGTTAAGGAGTCCTTCTCTTATCTCTGTCTCGGATTCCATGTGACTTTGTGCAGAGCTTTAATGGCGATATTAGTAACTAGCAGTAGAGTCCAGTCCAGTCCAGTCCAAGCCAGCGCAGGAGAGAATGACAAATGAAATCAAAGAAACTTCCTCACGCTATGAAGTCCAAACGTCTCTATGCCACTTCTTTTTCCACCTTTATATTTATTTCATGCAAGCTTTTTGTTGGCTATGAGGATGGGGAAGGGAGATTAGTAAAATTATAGGGTCCACTGGCTGGATTTTTACATTTATTCCTTGCCTAGGTTTTTTAAATTTTAACCTAGTTTTGTTTTGACACGCTAAGTTGCGACAAAAAAGAATAATTTGAATTTAGACAAAATATGTACTATCACAAACTATATTCTAAATTTGCAAAGCATGTTTTATGATAGATTATAGTGCTTCAGATTTGGTGTGTAGAACATTGAATATGCTAAACATTAGTATTTTTTGAATTCCCATTTTATAGTTTTGTTTATTATAAAAAACCGAGATTTAAAAATAAAACAACTACGTGCCATAAAAGCGAGGTATTATTACCCCAACAATATCACGATACCAAAAAAAAAAAATAATAAATAAATAAATAAAATTCATAATATCTAGAAGAGCTTTGATCTATAACAAAACTCCTAGAAGAGTTTCTGATTTCACGATTAACCGACCAATCTGTTCAAAAAAAAAAAAAAAAAACTATTACGAACACAATTTTTTTACTTTTCTTTTCTTTACAAAATAACAAAATGAAACAAAACATACCGATATATATATTAATCATTAGTTATTAATGTTAAAAAGAGAAAAAAAAGCATATTTAAATCTATCCTAACAATGAATTAATCTTATCCATACGGTCTGGATAAAAGGTTAATTTGACCACCTCGTACATTGAATGTAAACTGTGTTAATGCTTTACTAATACAATTTTATGTTCTAATTAAGAAGCTTAAGTACTAAACTATCTTAACAGATGCCCTACATTTTATGGATCAAGATTAATTTGTTATCTTGAAAGTTAGAAAGAAAGAAAAGGTGCATTGATCTCTTAATTTTCTGCTTCCGCTTCTTGTCCTACTCCATACAATTGCAGAAAAAAGTATACGCAGAATGCATTATTGCTGTACTTTAAATACAGAAACGAATTAATTAGTTTTTCTTATTTTGAAAATTATATTATATGCATTATTGTTGTCCTTTATGATCCAAAAAACCCATTATTATATTGGCTTTGATGATTAAAAGAGTACATTGACCATCCTCCTCAGTTGATAATTGCATCATTCTGCCATGTATAAAGGCAGAAACACAAGCCTATAGTACTCTACTGATCTCAACTTATCCCACGTCACAAAGGACAGCCCAGGTACCAACTTTTCTTTCTTTCGAGTCAACCAGAATTTCCTATCTAAGTTTTTGCATGAGTCCAATCTCACACAGTATTTTAATTGGAAAACTAGTAATATCAATTTTGAGCTTTTTTCAATCACATATATTAATTTTATTTTTTTTTCAATTGAATGTATCAATTTTTATTTTTTAATATGCAGAACAATATATATATATATTTTTGGCACACATGCGTGCCCGTTGCTTTGGTTTTTTTTTAATTAATAATTAAATAATAATAATAATAATTTAGGAAGAGAAAAGAATAAAAAAGACAATATAATAGTTTAGTCTATCACATATCATTACACGAAAAATTAGATAAAAAAATTTGATGGACATTTTAAAAAGAATTGATATACTTAAAGAAAAAAATAAAAATTAATGTATTTGATTGAGTGAGAAAATGTTTGAAGTTGAAGTGTTTATTACTTAGCTTTCCTATTTTAATTAAAGGTAAATATAAGAGGGAATCTTTGCTTACATAGCCAAAAGAAGTATAAAGAAAAGGTAAGGAAAATTGGAGTATAAATCAGAAAAACTTTTTACCCTTTTCCTTGTTACCAGTAAGTATGGATAATTTGGATTGCAAAAGATATGGTGCAGTGAATGATCGTTTTCAGTGGAAAGAGAAGCTGTGAAACACTAAAATCATCTGAGAAAAGCAGAACTATTAAATAGGGTGTTAATAAATTTTAGGATACGGTGAGAAAAACACCTTGAGAGTCCAGCCAGCCAGTTACATTTTAGTGATAAGATTCTTTTTTTTTCCCCCTCCATCTGAATATCACAGAGTAATTATAAATTAGTCCCTTTATTTTCAAGAAAACGACTAATTAGTTTTTTTAAAAAATATTAATCATTTAGTTCATTGACCAATGATAACCATATCAACAAAACATCTTAATTCAAAAATCTAAACTATTAAATAAAGCTCAAAAAACAATTTTATATTGCTCTCTAACACATCTTTTTAAGTAAAAATTTTATAGATTAATCACTATCTTGTGCTTAATTATCTAATTAAAAAATTAAAAAGAGAGTAATAAGATTAGAACTTGTAATCTTTTAGTCATTAAGACTTCGACACTATCTCAAAAAACCATTTCAACTCAAAAAGCATAAGTTATTGGTGAGGTTCTAAAAATAATTTTATATTACTCTCTCACAACGAGTACTTAAGTTTAATATTATTTTATTTAAAAAAATATATCGTGTTTTCTCATAAATCTTTCCATAATTTTTTTTATTTTTTTATATTTCTTAAAAAAATAATAATAAAAAATTAAAAAAAAAGGATTAAGCTACGAGAAAATTTTAAAATTTTAAACTATAAAAATTAAATAATTAGTTTTTAAAACAAAAAAAAACTAATTAATTCGTTTATCAAAATTGGAGGAACTAGTTTATAATTTACTCCAATATCACACGGTTTACTTTACTTCATCAACATGAATCTTTTTCCATTACTTTAACCATCAAAATTAAAATAATAAAGGATGTGTGCTCCTCCTTATTTTATTTTATTTTCTAGTTTAAATATTAAAACTAGCCTCTAAATTTTTTATATTTTTTTTAATATACTAGACTGATGTTAGCTCAAGAATACCTCATACTATTGAATAAACCAATAAAAAAAATCATCAAAATTATCGACAAAACACCAATATATATATATATATATATATATATATATCTTTTAATTTCTTACAATAATGAAAAGGGTAATCGTAGTAAAAGATTAAATCTTAATCTTACAAATGACACCTACCCTTTTGTGTACAATCACCGTCATCTTGTGCTTCCTAAAAAACCAGAGATCTCAACAGTGAATCCAGATAATCTCAATTTGCAGGGGACCACGAATTTGTCTTGTGGTAACCGTGGAGCTAAGCATGGTAACTTTATATATACTGCCCCAAACCCCAGAACTTTTGCTAATCTTGGAGCTAAGCATGGTAACTTTTTTTAGCTGTCCGATTTGGTTAGCTATTTCAGGCCCAACATATCCGCAGCAAATCCCTGAAACATAGATATAATGGTACCTCTAGTCTTCAGCTAACCCATAAATAAAATAAAATAACCAGAAGGCATGCTAAACTTTATTTCTTCTTTAGCACTTTTCCAGCTGGTTTTATTATAAAGTTCAGGGTTTTAATTTGAAAGTAGGTAAATTGTTTTGATTTGTATTTATATTTTAGAGTAAATATATTTATTTTTATCTTTATATAATACTTAAAGTCTCTCGTCTGTTTTTAAATTTTCAACTATATCTCATCTGTTCTTAAAAATTTTTTAAATATTCATTATGTGTTTCCAATCAAAATTTTCAATTATAGAATTTTTTTTTTTTTTACCAAAAATATCTTTTACTAAAATGCTCTAAAATTCACATGATCTACGTGTTCTATTTTTGAAGCGTTTAGTTTATTTATTAAGCACAAATTTGTATATTTACCTTATATTTTAGGCTAAGTTATTAATTTGTGATTATTGGTCTAATTGTTTTCAATTAATTCTTGTTTTTTAGATCATAATTCATTCTACCCTTCTAATGTATATATGTGTGCGTACAAACCCAACTCGTCCAAATTTATTGAAAAAATAATGAATCCGAAGAAAAGTCAAATGGTGTTATAATTCCTTTTTTTTTTTCTGTACTTGTTTTTTAAATAATTCATGAGGACTTTTTTTTTTATCATTTTGAATGAAAATGTTTGACAAAATCATAAATGGCCCTATATTTAAAGAAAATTTCGAACATTTTAGACCCAAAAAATTAAAGATAAATTGTGTTAATTCTTCTAAATATATTTCGGAATTTCCGAATATAAACTTACATGTAGAGAGTCGTTAATTCATTTTCCCCCCAAAAAAAAAAAAAATCTCCAAATATCATTCAATTGTTGTTACTAAACCAATGATTATTATTGATTAGTACTATGATATTGTTAAATCAGCCAGGCACCAAGGCATAGCCCACATAAAACCAAAATGAACCACAAAAAATCCATCCCTACAATTCAAAGTTGATATTTGTCTCTTTTTGGCCTTTGGGTCCCTAACAAAACAAAGAGAAACAAATTAAAATTCCCCTTTTTCTTTTTCTTTTTTCCATATAGTAACTAATTAAGATATTAGGTTTCATCGAGGGAGTTCATGCAGCATGCACAAAAGGATTGAAATTTCTTAAATACATCAACCTCTCAACTCCAAAGTCTCTAAACCAATCACTCTCATTCCATTTTCCGTCTTTTCTTTCATTCTTTCATTTTCATCCTTGTTATTTGTAGCAGCTAGTGTCACACTCAAATGGACCAGTGATTTAAGTATTTCAAAAGAGGAAAATAAAAACTCAATTCCCATATCAGCACTGTTGTTGCATCTGAGAAAGCTGAACCGTTTGATTGTTACAGAAAGCACTGATCTTTCTTCTCTTGATATCTTTTTCTGGCCAGATTTTGCTGCTGCTGCTGCTAGTGGTAGTAGATATCATCACAATAGTCCCATCGGTCTTCTCACTTTCCGAGCTTGAAAAACGCCGGCCAAGCACATCGACTGGCGTATCAGAACTTGACACCATCTCAAATTGTGACCTATAACCATCCATTGCTAATTCTTGCATTGCATCATAGCATTGGATCAAGTTTTCCTGTAACCAGATTACCATAGCATTACTTTATTAGGTCTTTGACTCGTAATATACCAAAAAAAGTAAAAAAAATACTGCATAATCTCATTGGACCAAACTATATTTTTGGTCAACCAAAGCCCTTTCTGTTATTGGTTGGAAGGCTCGATTACCATCCCATTGCAACATATTTTCTGACAGGTTCATTGGGAAGTTTCCCTTCTTTTTTCCTTTTCTTTTCTTTTCTCCTTTGGTCCAACCCCATTAATTTTCCTATCATTCCTTCATCCCAGCTTAAACATATAATTTTCAAAATTAATGAGTCTATAGTTCAATTGGTATCATCTATCTCTATTTGGAGTTTGAACTTCTACTTTATAAATAATAGTAAAAAAAAACTTTAATCTTGAAATCACTTGTTCACTATCTGGAGACTTCAAAATTTTTTTTTCTTTGAAAGGTACAATTAGATAAAAACTAAAAGAAAAAAGAAATCAGAACTCAATTAAAAACAAGTACCTTATTTACAAATGAACAGTTGGATATGGCTTTTCTGAAGCATAAAAACTGCATAGGGAAAAGTTCATGAGAAGCATAGAGAAGTGCTGATGCAGCAATTAATGAAGGCTTGAACTCCAAAAGATTGATATCTGCACAAAAGAAAAGATAGCACCAATTTTTTGTAATTAAAAAAAAAAAAAAAAAAAAGATAGCACCAATTTTTGCTAATTTCCTTTTGCCTAAATATACATACCATTTTGAGCTTTGAAGATGATTTCACTGGCTCTAGCTTTAAGAGCCTGCCTCAATGGTGGGTCTTTGTGTTTAAACAAAGAAGAGAAGAAAGATATGAAAGAGAACGGAGTGACTGATCTCATCCTCCAATTCAATGCCCCAAGTATAAGCAACTCCATTTTTTGTATTGTTTGTGTGTCAAATACGAAACCACCATCACCCTACACAAGATGGGAAAGAAAAATTTGATAATCAAGATTTTTTTTTTTGGGGACCAAGATGAAAATTATCATTAATCATTCACATATGGGGATATAGTGTAGACATTAAGGTTAGCTATGGACACTTGCCTGGATATCAGTGATGTGGAATTCTGCTTCCTTCATTTTGGCTGCTAGAGAAACACAACTAACTGCAAGAAGCCTGAATACCCATGGCTGTGGTTGCTGTGATGATTAAACATCAAAACATATTCAGTTGATCTCAAGCAAAAAAGAAATAGACGAAAAGAATTTGCTTTAAAAGACAGGATTTTGATTCTTTACGGGAATTCCTTGGCTTGATAAGAACCTATCAAGGTAATTAACAGCAAGGTAGAACAAGGATGGATCAAAGTTGCAAGAAACCTGAAAATCCCAAAAGAAATAAAATGTTAAAAAAACTGATCGATCAAGAAATATGTGTAAATTAAAAGTTAATGCAAAGAAGAAGATTGTGTTTTACATCTTGCACACCTACCCTTGAGACTGACGAGATAGCTTCTCTTCTAAAAGAGACATCAAAGTCTATCTCTTTGAGGGTGTTTAAGTAGTTCTTTGAAGGCATGTGATCAGATTCAATGAGAAAGAGATGAGAAGGGATGGTGTCAGAGTGAAGGTCATGAGAATTTGTTAATGGGTTTTCAAGATTGAAATCCATTGATTGCTCTGTCTGCACCTCTCAGTTTAGCTTCAAAGATGGAGCAAGGAAGATGAAGAGTGCATCACTTAAAAGAAGTGAAGTGAAGCAGAAAGAGAGTGAGACCCTTTGTTTCTCAAGAAAGACGATGGCTATTAATACCTGGACTACAATTCTATCGTTTTTTCTAGTGTTTTTTGTTTGCATTTTGGATTTTGGCATTTTTCTATCTTTCTATGGAGAAGGAAAAGTCATGGTAAAGAGATGAAAATGCATGATGGGGTCAAGAGCAAATGTGAGGATGAAGGTATGTCAGAAAAAGGACTGGTTGGAGATGCAAAGAAAGCAGACTGGCAACTGGTTTAACTATTTTTTAATTGATTTGACTTCGAACTCCTGTCAGTCAATTGAGATTCTGCAACATTGTTGAATCAATTATATATATTTATATATGAAAAAAACAGTAGGAATTTCTTGAATAAACTCATTATTTGCACTCAATATTTCTACATAGTATTAAAGATCTCTATTATTGATCTAATTAGATAACTTTTTTTTTTAATTTCAATTTATTGAGTATAATTTGTTAAAATTAAAATTTTATCTCAACCAAATAAGTAGTTTTCTTACAATATTTGGGTCGTTGTTATTAATTTTTATTTTTTTAATATCATCACTCGCATTCCTAAATCTAATATATGACTATCAAAGTTCATAACAATTTTTTATACTAAAATTAAGTTTATTTTTATGATCTGATAAAAATATTTTTTGCTTTAAAAAGGGAGTCTTATTTCATTATATATATACACACACATTAAATATCGTGTCAATTCATATTTTTTTATTGTATTTATTATGTTATTTTTTAAAATTAAAAAATAATTCGTAAATTGAATTTTTGAAGAAGGATAAAGTAGTAAAATTGGATACTCTATTATTTGAATTTTTTTAATAGATATTTAAATTTATATTTATAATATGGGATAATATTTGTATTTTATGATAGATTATACTTGGAAATTGGAAGGCAAGCTAGATAAATATTTATGCCAATATTAACTGGATTGTCACATTTCAAAAAACTAATTTTTATGAGAATGACAATACACAAATTTATTAAAGCAAAGAAATTTACTAATCTCCATCCTTAATCAGACAGCCTTGGTTTAATTACAGCTTTCTTTAATTTTAGGAATTAACTGCTTGAAAGGTGCTTCTCTTTACATCCGAAAAGGAGTTTCCCACTCTAGCTTGTTAGGGTTAATTCCAAGCCTATAATAAATGCATCCAGCTCAAACAATGCAAATTGCACGGATGACCTTTTCTGCTTTTCATGTAACAAAAAGCAAAGACAAGCCTGGTAAAGTGAATTGAAGTATTTAATCAAGAAAAGCTATAAATCCATCATAAAAGAATTAGGTTTGAACTTCCAAACGCCATATCAAACGTTCCCAAAAACTACGAGACAGTAAACCAATATTACAAGTTATAAGTTGGTTTCTTTGTGTCATTCCCTAGGTCATAAGATAATAAACAAAAACAAATCATTATGGGATATTTTCGAGCAAACTTCACATCACTCGTGAGTAAGTTTGTTGTTTTCCAAGACTAAATCAGTGTTAAAAATGCATAGCTTTTGGCCCATTATTAAACTATCTCGTAAGCAAAACAATTCAAATGTGATACTATTAAGAGATAATTATCATTAATTATTTATTAATAATAAAAATCTAATATCATTTTTTAGCTAACTTTACATATGTTGAGAGTAAATCCACTATTTTTTGAACTAAATAAGTGTTAGAATATGCATAATTTTTCATCAACTACTAGATTGTTTATTAAACTAATCCAATTCAAATTTAGTATTTTTTAAAAAAATAATTATGATTAATTATCCTTAGATAAAGAAAATTGAATCTCGATCATAATCATAGTCAAACTAAAACAACCGCTAATTCATCGCTTTCGGATATAACTAATCCAATCCAAATTTATTAATATTAAAAAATAATTATGATTAATTATCCATAAATAATAAAAATTGAATTTCGATCATGCTCATAGTCAAATTAAAACAACCTTATTACTGCTAATACATTACTTTCAGGTATAACTATTCCAATCTAAATTTAACACTATTAAAAAATAATTATGATTAATTATCTATAAATAAATAAAAAATTCAACTTCATCCCAGTCATAGTCAAACTTGAACGACCTCAGTACATCCGTTTCAAGTATGGGAACGTTTTTCTTCTCTCTAGTTCGTGCCTTTCCCATCTTACCAAAAACTATTGACTTGAGGTGGACTTGACGGAATTTGTTAATGAACTTAGTTGATTTCACCAAACGTAGCGATTTAAAATTAATGAGTTTAGTATTGATTTTGGACTTGCAGAATGGAATCGTCAATTCAGACGGAAAAGGGGCTCTCTGGTCTCTATAAGACAAGACAAAATTAATTGATACCAATCGACTGTGTCCCTTTCCATGGCCACAAATTATCAAATATTGCCAACCAAAAGTAGGCCTCAAATCCTATGTCATGACATTTAGACATTAATGAAGGGACAATGAGAAAGTTTGAAATGTTTGCCACTTCACACCAAATCGTCCACCTGCTCTCTAAGTGAAAGTCATAAAAATGCAGCCAATAAATCTTATATAACCTAAATATTTGACATTGTTGGACTCCTTCAAAGGTCAGTGGCAGTTTGACAGCTTGTTTTCTTGGCCTAGGTATTGAAAGAATTAATGTCTTCTCATCTTTCTTTCTTTCTTTTTTTTTTTTATAACGCGAGTGTTCGTGCAACTTACGCGAACTTCGACTAATCTCACGGACCTGAAGTTAACGACCATGTAAACTTTCAGTGGCCACTAAAGAGAGCAATCGGGACTCGAATCCGAGACCACATGAGAAGCAAACCCTTTGTTACAATGTCTTCTCATCTTGAAAGGAGAAGAGATTGTCAATTGGACAAATAAGTAGTAGATAATATAGTTTGGGCATTTATAGATATGGGAGATACATTGCTTAATCTAGTTGCTTAAAATGCTGGTTCATGATGAAAAGGGAGTGCACTCAAGTTGAAAACCTTAGTAGTAAGTTTAATTGCATTGAATGTTTTTATATATATATATATATTTTTTCTGATCAATTATTGCAAGGAAGTATTGTGTCCAAAAAATAATTAAAATTAATATCTTTCTTTATTTAAGAGATTTCGAATTCAACATCTCATTTGTAATTAAAAACAAAAAAAGTAAAAGTGAAATTCAAAGGTTGCCTTTCTTTTTCATGTTATGAAGACCAAATACTTGAAGTAAATTATTTATTATAGCATATCAAATATTCGTTTTAATCTAAAAGTTTAATATGTTCGGTGAAATTTTAGAAATAATTTTATTTTACATTTCAATACATTTCTTCAAGTAAATTTTTTTAGACTTAGAATTTATACGGCTATCTTATGTTTTATAATTTAGTTTTAATTAGAAGTAGTAGTAGGATAGATAAATTCAAATTCGTGATTATTTGATTAGTAAAATTTTGATATCATTTTAAAAAATTATTTTAATCAGTAAACGTTTGCTAGTAAAGAAGAAAGTTTTGATATCATACCAAAAAATTATTTTAATCTCAAAACTTAAATCGTTGAATAAAACTCTATAAATAATTTTATATTAATAACTATCATAACTTGTAAAGGTTTTGGATAGAAAAATAAACTCCGAAATGAATTTATTACCCTCATAATTAGCATCCATGCATATATAAGATAATTCATCTCAAGCTTGCATGAGCTATAGTAAAAAGTTAATGTGTGTTTGTATACGGTAAAGACTAGTAGACAGACTTGAAGACAGATAACAAATGGATGGAATTTTGAGAATTAAGAACCCGAGGGGAAAAGATGGTTCAGGAGATTATGTTTTGAGGACTGTGTACGATGGGCATCTTAAAGGATTGGGGCTAAGCAAGAGCTACCGTCCTTACAATTGGTTAATTTTTTCTCCGAACTGTCTCAGGAAATGGGACCAATTTTGAATTCATGGTTAACCTAATTTATCGATGGAGTTAATATATGTACCAAAGCTATAGCAAATCTAATTTTGTGATATATTTATTAAAAAATAATATAAATTATATTTTAATATCTCGTCCAATAGTTTTAGTTTTTTAATTCAAATAGTTTTTTTTATATAATATCAAAATTTTAATAACCAAACGATTACGAGTTCTAATTTTTTTTTTTTAATTCAAATCTCGTCATTTAGTTAACATGATTTTGATACTATATCAATTCAAAAATTTAAATTATTAGATGAAGTTTTAGAAATAATTTTATATTATTCTCTAACAAAGAATGCTAATAGAATTTAATCCAAAAATAAATACTTAATCCATACTAATTTAAACGAGTTCTTAACTAATATAGTAATTTTGTGGGGCTGGTCCTTTAATAGTGATTAAGAGGAATACTTTTGTTAGGATCAAAAGATCCCCTTGAACTTTCTTAATGAAAGTGCATCAGTTAATCTTGTTTTGTCCCTTAACAATACTCCAAATCTTGGTCATTTTACAAGCACTACGTCTAACTAATAGTTAATTTGTCTCTTAAAAGCACTCCAAATCTTTGTCCTTTTTCAGGCACTATTTCACATTGTTAAATGGGAACACAAGCTATAAAAGTCTCGTACACAAAGCTGGCAATCATATTTGTGGTCATTCTTAAGTGGGTTTGGCCCCATATGACTCTCAATTCTAAAATTCACCTACTCTTGAAATTATTCACCAATCCATTTAATACTTTTAACCCTTGAAACCCACTTGGAGCTAGTTCCTTTTATCTTCTTCCCAAGCCACACAACTATCTAGACTGACCAATCTTAAAGAAAAGAAAAGAAAAGATAAGATAATGTTGGATCGTTGATATGACATTCCTAAATGATATGATAAATGCATTGACAATTCCATGTAAGATAATAATTATTATGATGGTCATGATCATTCCTAGGAAATTTTTGATGGATTTGATGGTTGTATGGCTTCAAAGTGGTTTTTTTGCCGTGATCATGTGGTGTAAAGTTGTGGAAAATTCTAAAGTTTTCGTTAATTAAATATATGAAAGCTAGGCTCTATGTTAATTAATTTGCAAGACATAATAATTGGATGACAATCTGATCATTGATGGGAAGATTTTCATGTTCCTAAAGCAGGAAAGTATGTAACATTAGTCAGGCCATAATGCAATATAGAGGGACAACTCCTGTCTATTGCATTGCTTTCCCCAAAATTATCTGCAATGAATTTATTATTTCAATTCAGTAATCGCTATCTTGGTGGAAACTACTTGTGAAATCCAATCAATTACAATCCCTTCACCTACCCTGTCGACTAACTTAGAAACAATAAAACTTACTGGGTCAACTAACATATTATCTTGCAAAACTATGCTGATTTGCTTAATGAACTTTGATATCATCGATTGAAATTAAATTTATTATTTTTTAAATTAAATTAATGTCAAATCTCATTTAGTTTTTTATTGATTTTAAAAAGAACTCAAAAATGCTTTTTTTTTTAAAAAAAAAGAAAAAACTCCTAATAGAATGATTCAGAAATATATATTTTTTTACTATCCTAACTTCGATCTTTAACAATTAAGAAAATTATATATATATATATATATATAATTTGACTTTAATCAATTAGTTTGTTGACATTAAAAAATTGGAGATTCACTTTCCCAAAAGCTCAGTCATCTTCCTCCAAAAATGCTCCTCTTTTAATGGCAGTTTTATCAACAGCCTCATCATTCTATATACTTTCATGGTTTCTATATCTTTGTTACATATAAAACATGTCCGTCCGGGAAGATCAAATTAAAGAAGAAAAGAAATTAATAAAAATTGTCTAATTAGTTGGTCTAATGAATTTTAATATTAACATTTATTAGTTGCTATGATAGATTTGATTCATACAACAGTTTTTGGAGCATTTATCCTAAGGAATAACGCTAACAATGCATTTTTGGTAGTCACTTGGCATGGAAATTAGTGGATTAAGAAATTATTTTGAACAAACTAATTGATTCATTTTTTGAAAACTGGCTTTTTTAATTAATGACGATATCCCCTTAATCTAATAGGATCCATTGGATTCTACTTAGGATTCCAACTTCAAACTCTACCAATCTCACTTCGCATGGAATAAATTAAATGTATGTGAACATGTTAATTAATTATATAGTTAGATTGAAGCTGGGAGGCAAAAAGCTGGTGATACCAGAAGAAGCCAAGTAGCTTTGAGTGTTTCATAACTTCGAAATGTCTTTGAAGAACGTTCCATTATTATTTATTTTTACTTTATTTTTTGGATTGCCTCAAGGTTGCTCCATCATGATCGTACACCTCTCCTTTCCATTCATTTATTTATAAACACACATTGCGCCATCTCTCCTTTTCTTTTTCTTTACCTTTCTTGTTGGGTGTCTTCTTCTTTGACGAAAACAATGGATTCTCCCTCTTTTTTTTTTTCCTCTCTGTATTGATGCAAGAGAAAGTCAAAGAACTCAAAACATATTCATTTTTCACTCATTGAAAGACTCATTAGTTCCCATTCTTTAATTTTTTGCTTTACCTTCACTTTCTCTTTATTACATATATATCAAATTGTGGATGTATAACTGTACACAAACGTTGTTATATATAGTATTGGAAATTGAGAGGAAAGTTGAGGTGTGGGAGAGGAAGGAAAAGTGAAAGGCCCATGCAATTGCATGATGAGTGCATGTTTCACGCCATGCCCCCATGCAGATAGCACCATCATTGTATTTTCATTTAAAGTCTGACTAGTTTTTTTTTTTTTTAATTATATTTTGTGTTATGTTGCGGATAGAATAAAATACATAAAATTATTTTATTTTGATGTCCCGTATTATATTATACGTCTATTAAAATATATCAAATTAAATATGAATAAAAAATTCATTCAATTTTATCATTTTTTAATCAAACTTTTGTATTTGACTAATTATTCTTTATATTTTCATAAACGTTTTTAGTAAAAAAATTATTTATTTATCTCTATCCATATTTTTAATTAAAATCTTATTTTGTAAATTATTTTTTTCTCCTAAACATCCTTTTGCCCTAAAATTTTTAATTAAAACAATCGGAGAAAACAAGGACCAAAATGAAACAAAAAAATAGGACCAAAATCTAATAAAAAATATTTGTGGACAAAAAAAATATTTAAAAAGGAGGGACTAAAGTGTAATGTCACAAAAATATTCATAATAAATATCTTTAAAATATTTAAAAACTATAAAAAAAATACCACTTTATATCATGTGTCTATCAAAATATATCAAATCAAGTATGAATAAAAATTCATTCAATTTCATCATTTTTAATCAAAATTTTGTATTTGACTTATTATTCTTTATATTTTCATAAATTTTTTCTTAAAAATATTATTTATTTATCTCTATCCACCTTTTTTTAGCTAAAACCTTATTTTGTAAATTGTTTTTTTTTTAACATCCTTTTGCCCTAAAATTTTTAATTAAAAAAATAAAAAAGGACCAAAATGAAACAAAAAAATAGGATCATAATCTAATAAAAAAATATTTGTAGACTAAAAAAATATTTAAAAAGGATGGACCAAAGTGTAATATCATAAAAAATTTCATAATAAATATCTTAAAAATATTTTAAAACTATAAAAATATCACCGTATAGTGAGATGAATAATACATTTGAGTTTGGATGAATAGTATGAATGAATCTGGATAAACAATTTTTTAAATAGTGTAATAAATAGTAATCAATAGTTTTTTTTTTTTTTTTTTAATGGGCACAAAGGTTAGTGGTGCTAGTAGCTATATAAGCTTTGGACTTGTGGAGTTTTAGAGTGGTGACAATTTTGAAGTAGTTGAAAAAAGTGGGATTGTTTGATTAAATAAAATAAAATTATAAAGATTTTAAAAGTAAAACACACAAGTTATTCAAGTATTTATTTTTTACATTTTAATAAAGGACAATTCAGTCAAATTTTTTGTCTATGTTTGAAAAATTTAATGCGAAAGATAATTTAAATATTTTAAAAATTTTCATAGATAGATGTAATGTAATTGAAAATTTAAAAATAGGTGAAAGAATTTTAATATTATATAACGACGCATCAATCTATTTAATTTCCTTTAAAATTTTTCCAAACATTTTTTAAAATGGTCTTTGAAAAAAAAAACAAAAACAAAAGCCAAATTTCTAGCCCATTCAATGGAGAGTTTATTTATTAGGGACCCTACTTTATAGAAAGTGTACCTAAAAAGGCCACAAGTTTTGAGTCCAAACATGAAGTTACACAGAAGTCCAGAACTCCAAGCCCATTACTGGCTGAACCCATGGCATGATTAGCAATTTAGCACCGCCTCGCCTCGGAAATCACCACAAGTCTTCAGCAGTCTCACTGGTCAAGATTGGTTAACATTAAATTTTAGAAAGGTTCTTACTTCTTAGTCATCAATAGCCAAATGCTGATAATATAGCGTAAGCCCAACTAGATCTTCTATTGAATAATAATAAAATAAAATAAAATAACAAAAAAAAATTCTTGAACATTAATTCATAATTTTTGTTTGTGTGGAATTTTATGATTCAAAAAGTTTTAGTTTAACTAAAACTGGAATTTTATGATGTAGAAATGTTTACTTTTAGACTTTATGCTTGAATCCAACAATTTCTATTCTTAAGGTTTTTTTTTTTAATTTATTTATTATATTTACAAATTGTAGAATATTTTTTACTTAACTCTCATATTGATCGAAACTAAATTTACTATTTTCAGATTAAATCAATATCAAAACATGTCTAATTTTTTTTATAGATTATTAAATTATTTTTAAACAAAATCAGCTTGAAATTTGATATTACAAGGAAAAAAAAATCCCATCTTTCAATGGCCAATAATTTAAACATGAATTAGCGACGGTTATGTATAATCATCGCTAAATCCGTGACTTTTTAAATAATGTTAAGTGATGGTTTGTGATCGTTAAGCGACGGTTTACAATAAACCGCCGTAAAATATTTCAAAAAATGTCACTAATTATGATTAGCTATAATTTTTTTTAACGATGGTTTTAACTGTCGCTAAATGTCATTTTTCGAATAGCGTATTGATATAGAGTGTAGAGTCCTATTTATGACAATAAATAAATATATATATATATATATATATATATATATAGACCGTGGGACACTAACAATGGCATTGAACTAGACAGATAACAAATATTCCAGCTTATTAATTCCTGCTTGTTTCAAGGGGGCCGGAATATATGTTGTGTCTATGGATGGACCATGTAGGACCTTGTATATAAAATTCACATGAATTTCTTGAGTCCTTGGGGAATAATTGCGAGGTAATTTAACTATGTTTAACTCAAGAATTTAACTATTTTTCTCAATTTTTGTAACGTGATTCTTCTATAGTCTTGATTTAATTGCATGAACCATGCTTCCAACTCCATTATTTATCATGATGCATGAAAGACAAGCACCTAAAAATATCACTTCTTAATGTGAATTATAGAAATTTTTTTAAATTTAGCTTCTAAAATGTTTTTGAAGATGATAACTGTGAAGAACATGGCAAGGGCCGAGAAACTGGAGCAGGAGCTGAGGTGCATGATCAATGATGCAGAGGTAGAACCATTGTTTCTGCTAGAATTGATAGATGACATTGAAGGACTGGGTTTGGGATACCGGTTTCGAAATCATATCAGCCAAGCACTCATGAAACCAACACCTATGGAAGGGCTTGATGTGGGAATGGAGAAGAATCTGCATGCTTCTGCTCTCAACTTCAGGCTTCTTAGAGATCATGGCCACGAGATCTCTCAAGGTGCTTTTTTTTTTTTTTTTTTTTTGCCAATCCCATATTCTTTTTTGCATATCTTATATTAAGCCATTTCTAACATTAAATGAATATTTTCTTTTGGCAGATGTGTTAAAAAAATTCAAGGACCAGAATGGCAATTTCATGGAATGCCTTCGCTCGGATGTTCAAGGACTATTGAGTTTGTATGAAGCTTCCTACTGTGCCTTCGAGGGAGAAAACATCTTAGACGAGGCTAAAGAATTTGCAAGCAAACATCTTAAAGAGATCAAGGAAAAGTAGATGCAAATATTGCTGAGCAAGTGAGCCACTCGATGGAGCTTCCCTTGCTTCGAAGGATGCAGAGACTTGAAGCTAGGTGGTCTATTCAAGCATGCAACAAAAGGGGAGATGCAAATCCCATCCTACTTGAACTTGCTAAGCTGGATTTCAACTTGGTACAGTCAAACCTCCAAATTGATCTCCAAAAGGTTTCAAGGTAAGACCAACTCTTGAGAAAAAGAAGAGAATTTTCCACATTTCAAGACTGCGTATAATTCAAAAATTTTTTTATTGAAATCTTAAGTTTTTTTTTTTTTTCATCTAAGAATTTTATTCGTATGTTATTATTATTTTAGACCATAATATATCACGTCATATAAGTATACGTTATAAGCTCTAGTCAATGACAACTTACCATATGTCATGAAGGGTTTAAATTAGATGATTGAATTGATAAAGTGGTAAAATATCATTGGCTAGAGCGCACATGTGGCAAGCTATAATTGGTTAGGATCCGAAACAATAATAATATAACAAGTAGAATTCTTAAATTTGATAAAAAAAAATTAGAATCTCAATTAAAAAAATTCAAATTGTATGGGATCTTGCATAAAAACAAAAAAGAAGAGTATTATAATTTTTGGGGAAAAAGTACTTGCACGATTTTGTATTGAAATTATTGTGTGTGATCTCATGCAGATGGTGGAATCACATGGGGTTGGCAAACAAGTTGAGTTTTGCTCGAGACAGGATGACAGAATGCTTCTTTTCAGCAGTTGGAGTAGTCTTTGAACCTCAATTAAGTTATTGCCGCATAGGTTTAACAAAGGTCATGACACTTTTATCAACTCTTGATGACATTTATGATATTTATGGTTCATTGGCAGGATTGAAGATATTTACAGATGCTGTTGAGAGGTTAGCACTAACATAAGCTATTAATGTGTGACTATTGCCCTCTAACTAGCAATTTACTATTTAAAAAATCATTTTCCAAGCAATGAATAATCTATCTACTGAAACCAGTTTTATCATATTTTATCAAAACTTTAGGATAAATAGTTCAATTTGTTTTTATATAATAGACTGATTTTCTAATATGTATTTACATTTTTAATTGTATCTATTATGCTTCGGAATAATATTTAAGTCTTCAATTTATCATTTCATGGGCAAATTTTTTGACCAAGTGTCCTGATTGAAATGTCAAAAAAAATAAAAAGAGCAAAAAAAATACATAAAGTAACTAGACCTACATTTTCTATTTTTTTAGTCTTTAGAAATTTTTATTTTTATATTTCAATTAGGAGTATTTTATAGTAAAAAAAAATGCTAAAACTAGAAAAATTTACTAGAATGATAGATTGAAAACATAAATATTATTCAGAAACAAAAAAAATGCTATGAGAAATATAAAAACAGATCGATTGGAGACTCAAACTATTATATAAGAATAGATTAAATTATTATCAAACTCGATTTGTAGTTCTTCTATGAAGTACATCTAATCCTAAATTTTGCTTACCTAGTGAAATCAAATAAATTAATTGGTCTAGTTGTAAAGCCAACATTAAATGACTATATCAATTAAATTACAACTAATATTTATGACATCTTAATTTGTTTTTAATTAATTAACCAATTTAACTTTATATGATTTTTATGATAATTTCAGGTGGGATACTAATGAAGTGGAAACTCTTCCTCGAAGCATGAAAGTGTTCTTCCTGGCTCTTTACAACACTATCGATGAAATTGCCCATCACATTAAGAAAGAACAAGGGTACAACATTATACCTCACCAAAGAAAAATGGTACAATACAATTCTATGTGAATTTTATTCTAATTTTTTTTTCAGTTTAACATTTCATGCAACCAGGGCGAAAATAGAATTTTAAATCTGCTGAGACTAAGTAAAAATGAAATTACGAATATATATATTGACTTGACTTCAGAAGTTTTATTTATTTATTTATTTTGAGGTTTATGGAACATTTATAACTATTGCAAAATTAATTTAACATAAATATAACAATATGTTGTTATGTAATAGCTCAAGTCTTCGATCTATTTTTATATTTTTAATTACATTTATTATCTCTTCGAATAATATTTCAGTCTTCAATATGTCTTTCCAACCATAGTTAATTGTTCTCTCTTTTTGTTATTTTTAGTGGGCAGATTTATGCAAAGCATTCTTATTGGAAGCACAATGGAGTTTAAACAAATTTACACCAACTTTCAAAGAATACATTGACAATGCTTGGCTTTCATCATCAGCATCTGTTATACTTCTCAATGCATATATTTTAATTACAGAGAATATTAACAAAGACGCATTGCTTTACTTGAAAAACTACCCTGACTTATTGCGTTGCCCATCCATGCTTTTTCGACTCTACAACGACCTAGTCACTGCACAGGTAAATTATACATGCATCAAGAACAAATTCAATGAAAAATTTGGATATTATTAAAAAAAAAAAAAAGATTAAACAAACGATATAAAAAAAAAACAGAAAAAGAGAGCAACAAGTTGCTAGTCTAACGCTAAGAACGAGCTGTTTTCAAGCGAATTTTATACAAATGTACAGAATTTGAATATTAAAATTATTCTTATTTAGAAGGGTTAAACTTTATCATTTTCGCTTTAAACATGATTAATCATATTTTCAATATGGGATGAGAAAACCTAAGAAAAAAGAAGAAGGGTTTTTTCCATGTATATAATCTATACTTTTTAAATTGTTTTGATTTAGATTCTGTATTTTTTTTTTTTTGTTAATCGAGTATTTCTAATCTTTATTTTATTTTGTTTTCATCTCTTCGTTATAACATCATTAGTTCGTGAGATGATGTTCAACATCCACTTTTAAAAGAGTGATACGTATAATATGTGAGACTTCAATAAAAAAACTTAATCAAAATAATTTGAAAACTACATGAATTTAATCAGCACAATTTAAAAAAATGTAAGAACCGAATTATTATTTTTTAATTCATATTTTGTTGTTTTTTTTTAAACCTCATCTTAAATGTCCCAAAGCATGTCATATATTAGAATCTATTGTATCAATTTATCATTTGATCAATATAAACCCAATTCATATAATAGTTTTCCACTAAATTAATTTTGATTGCAATACAGGCTGAGATGGAGAGAGGTGAAAACATTAATTCAATTGCGTGCTACATGCAAGAATTCAACTCATCTGAGAAAGATGCTCGGGACTATATGAGCAATTTGATTGATGAAACATGGAAGAAGATGAACAAATATCGAGTTTCTGATTTACAATTTTCAAAATCTTTCATTGAATTAAGTCATAATTTTGCTCGAACAGTTCAATGTGTGTATCAACATGGAGATGGACATGGAGCTCCTGATCAAAAAAATGCAGAATAAAATCATGTCTGTGATGGTTGAATCCATTGCTTAAGCAAATACTGGATCACGTGTAACATTTTTTAACATTTTTGTTCTTTTGGACTTAGTTTCTTTTACGTTGGGTTAGGATACTCATGTGAATTGTGGATAGTTCACTAATTAATGTAAATAAAGAGTACAACAGTACAAGTTTTTGAAATTTTTGAGTTAGAAAAATTAATGTGTTGTCACAAATTTTCTAAAGTCTTCACTTAAAAATCTAACCATTCCTAAATTTTAAATTATTTGAGGTTGAATCCTAGAGTTTTTTTTGTTAGTTTTGGAGATTTCTAAACTTTTAATTTTTTTCAAATTTATCTTCTTTTTTTTTCAGTTCTCTGTCATTTATTTTAAAAAATAACAATGACATAAATAATATCATGATAAAAATTATTCAATGAGATTTATATGGAGTCTTCAAAAGATTTGAGATCAATGTAGGGTTATTTTTTATTTTTACCAGTTTTCTATATTTCTAATATTCAAAAAATAAATAAATATAGTTTTCGATTTTGAAAAATCTAGAAAATAGATTACATTTTTTTCAATATATAAGTAAAATTTCAGTTCAAAATACCAAGAATTGAATTATATAAAAAAGAAGATGTAGCTGAAAATATTTGAATGGATAAATTTTAAAAAATTAAAAGTTTAGAAATTTTTAAAACTGATAAAAAAATTTAAAGACTGAATCTCAAATTATTTAAAGTTGAGGAGTTGCTAAGACCCGTTAGCCTAAAATAACAAGACTTAAACGCACTTCCTAAGGCCCATTGGGCTAAGGATGGGCCTAACAAAAACATAAGTATTCATAAGAAGGCCCACATTTGCAAAAGCCAGCCACTTGTACAAGAAAGAGAAGCAATATCTCTAAACATGTGGTCGCGTGGCACCATTGTGTCTAACGTTGCCTTATCTAATATAGTTGTGGTCGTTATATCTTTAACTGTATTCTTACATGAATTATCCATAATATCATCAAGAACATTCACTCTCCTCTCCAAGAATCATCAATCCATGGCTTCCTCCACTCTCTCCCCTGCTACTCCATCACAGGTAAAAAAAAAAAAAAATGGAAAAGAAGAAGAATCCCATAAAACATTGGTCATTCTCTTTAAATTTTGAGATTGAATTGTGTGTTTTTGTTGGTTTGTTTTGTATATCAGCTATGCTCTAGCAAGAGTGGCATGTTCTCTCCTACGCATGCAGTGTTTTTGAAACCAACAAGGACAAATATGGTGGCAAAGGAGAAAGGAATGAGAATTGCATGCCAGGCTACTAGTATTGCCGATGATAGAGTGCCTGACATGGGCAAGAGAGAGCTTATGAATTTGCTTCTTTTGGGTGCTATTTCCCTCCCCACTGCTGGCATGTTGCTTCCTTATACTTATTTCTTTGTCCCTCCTGGGTAAGAAATGCTCTCTCTCTCTCTGTTTTTTTTTTCAGGCAAAGAGTTCTGCCGGATTTTTTCTTTGTATATTTCCCATTTTTCTCATTCTATTTTGTGCTGTTTTAAATGGTCAATGAGGTAAATTTTGCATTTGGTGTTGATTGATTTATGTTGGAATGCTATATATTTTCACTATCAAGCTGAATAATGGATCAAATGTAGTTTGAATTTTTCCTTTTATAGTTGCTTCCTTCTTTTGTTTTTAGAATTTTCCCAATTTTAATCGCCTAATTAGTCCTCCAATGAGAAGAAATAGATTCTTTTAAAAGGCCCCATTCAAAAATTTAGTTCAACTAATGATGTATCATAGCTAAAATCATCTTGGGAAGTAAAGAATAAGGAGATTTCCATGTTGTGTTTAAGTTTGTAAATTACTTCTTTGGGATTAGTCACGTCTGCCAACAAGTTCTAAATGGCCCCTTACTAGCTGCTATGGATGACTTGTTTAGGAATTAAATGTTTGGCAATTAGCTTTCGATAAACACAATACTGCCTGCATTCTATTGGGACTTTGCTTAACGCATGTTTTTTCGGCTGACTGGAATTGGAAAATTCTAACAGGCTAGGAGGTGGTAGTGGTGGTACCGTTGCCAAGGATGCCCTTGGAAACGATATCATTGCAGACCAATGGCTTAAGACTCATGGCCCGGGAGACCGAACCCTTTCTCAAGGATTAAAGGTACTAGCAGCTCTCATTCCCTGAAGCACAGGTTTTTCGTTGTATTTCCCGTTCTCATTAAAAGAGTTCTTTTACTGCAGAAAAGGAACGACAAAATTTGTTGTCTTTCTTATCAATTGATCACTAAAGAGTATTTTGGATATAAAATTTGCGGCTTGTGTGCGCATTATTATACACGTTTTTCTTACATTGTACACCGGTTGCTTACAGGGATCATTTGAAGGTGTATATTTTCCTCTGTTTTGATGCAAGTTAATCATATTTTGTCATCCAAACTTAAATCATATTTTCCACTTGTTAACTCGAACAAAAAGTATAACATTCTTGCCTTTTTGTCTCTTTCAAGATTTTATTCGAAGTTGAAAATTCATCGTAAAGAGATGTTTGTTCGAATTCAACCATTGTTGTCTACCTCTAGCATAAATGGACCTCTTTATATGTTTCCACTCGAACCAGTGAGATTTTCGTGATGAAATGGTTCACACAGTTTTACAAGGACCTATGGAAGTTTGTGAAGTAAATCATTTTCATGTTTTTGAACAAAATCTGTGGAAACTATCCAAAATGATGAGAAAATTAGAGTTGTTTCAATTTCGAATTTTCAGTATCGTGCATTATGCATACCTATTTAAGCAAAACTGATTTGACCTTATCGCTAATCTGTTTGGTGCTTAAGTATACATCGATACAGATATTCTGAAGCAATTTGTAATAACAAAAATTATTTGGATTCTTTTGTGGACTTCAGGGAGATCCAACGTACCTTGTTGTGGAGAAAGACAAAACTCTTGCAACATATGCAATCAATGCCGTGTGCACCCACCTTGGTTGTGTTGTGCCATTTAATAGAGCTGAGAACAAGTTCATCTGCCCCTGCCATGGATCCCAGTACAATGACCAAGGAAGAGTTGTCAGAGGACCTGCTCCTCTGGTAAGTGAAACAGAATTTTCCTCGCATTTCTCGGTGATTGATTTATTTTAGATTGTGAAGAACTGACAACTATGCTTCTAAATCAACAATCAGTAACAGTTTGCTTGTTATTACGATTTTCGATTTCACACTTAGCAATGACCTACTTCAATTTTACTTCTCGGTACAGTCATTGGCATTGGCTCACTGCGACATAGATGACGGCAAGGTGGTCTTTGTTCCATGGGTCGAAACAGATTTCAGAACCGGAGAAGATCCATGGTGGGCTTAAGCCGCTTGTTAAAATATCAATCACCACATGTTTCGTATATTGAGGATGCGAATCAGTTTGTTTCGCAGCGATGCCCAAACATCCTGTGTGTCATGTAGAGGTATGCTTTGTGCATTGGAGCTTATAAGATGTAAGGATTATAACCATATAATTTAAACATGGATAACCTTGTGATGCTTGCCAATCTATTCTTTATAGCTTATTCTATTGCTACAACTTTCTAGTTCTTAGGTCTATTTGGAAAAACTGTAGTTTTTGTTGTGGCTGTAGCGGTAGTTGTAGTGAGCCAATGCAAAAAAGGTTTAGTAATATGTAGCGTTATAGTTTTAAATAATGGCTATTATGTAACGATTTCGAAATATCTCGTTATCATTTTTTTGATATTATAGTAAGTTACAATTCATAATAGGGCCGCGATCGTTTTTTCAACCGTCTCTCATTTAAATCTATGATTCAAATGCATTTATGTTATATCAAAAGCTCAAAAACTTCATTTTGTAGCTTCTGATTTTTCACTTCTAAATAACTTTCAAAACAACTTTTAGTAATTTATCAAACGTCTTTTTCAATGGCTTTTGAGGAAGAACTCCAAAAGCCAAAAAAGAAAAAAAAACAGCCCAAAAAGAGTTTCGCCAGCCAGCTTCAATACTGTTACAACATTTTCATGTGAACTGAGTAATAAGTTTCCACATCGTGTGTGCTTACGTCTTGTTCATTCAATATTTATATCACATAAAATCGAATACAGCCATTGTTGGTAGGTAGCAAGTAGCAAATACGCAAATCCTATTTTGACTTTGGCCCAACATTTATCAAACAATAAATGCAAAACAAAACCCACTTGAATTTGAGTTTCTTCTTCGGTCTTGGAGCAAACAATCAGACACTGGACAAATTCTCATGCACCCTTAAGCAATGCATCAGCTGCTTCTTTTATCAACTTCCACGCAGCGGCCACGTGGCTTTCTTCAGTAAGTGTGGCCCCCACTGCAAATCTCAGGATGTATACCCCACCGACGATCGTGTGGGTCATATAAACCCGGCCGGTCGAGTTCACCGATTCGAGTAGTTTCCGGTTTAGTAACTCGGTGTGATCGAACCTGCATTGGTTATCCGGGTTTAGTCGAAAGCATACCAATGCAAACTGTCTAGGCACCACGATTTCAAAACGGGGGTCGGATTTCAAGAGCCGCTCGAACGTTTTGGCCATTCGGATGTCGGATCGGATGTGGCTTTGGAGATTGGCGGTGCCGTGGCTACGCAATACGAGCCATAATCGGAGGGATTTGAACCTGCGACCGGTACCGATTTGCCAATCCTTAAAATCCACAACCGAATCGGACTCGCTCGGGTTGTTTCTCAAGTACTCAGGATTTGTGCTCAATGCCATCACTAGTAAGCTTGGATTTTTCACCCATAAGCAACAACAATCCAAATAAGTGAGTAGCCATTTGTGTGGGCTTAAACTCAAAGAGTCAACGCTTTCAATGCCATTGAAGTGGTGCGTAAACTCTGGACAGATACATGCACTACCACCATAAGCAGCATCCACATGAACCCACATGCCATAAGCATTTGCCACGTCGGCGAGCAGCCCGATGGGATCAACGGCAGTGGTTGAAGTAGTCCCCACAGTTGCACAAAGATAAAGTGGGACCAATCCAGCTGCCACATCAGCTTCCACGACCGTACGGAGTGCCACAGGAGATAGAGAAAAACATGAGTCAATGGTAGTTGGTATTAACCTTATGTTACAGGGATTTATGCCAGCCACTTTGCATGCCTTAGGGAACATTGCATGTGTCTGGTCAGAACCATAAACCACAAGCTTAGACAAATTTTGGACACCAATGTTGTTGAGAACTCTGTCTCTTGCTGCAATGAGTGTTACAAGAACTGCTTCACTTGTTGTGTTTTGAATGACACCACCACCTGAACCTGCAGACAAAAGAGCAACATGGTCCTTGATCTTTTTTTTTTTTTTTTGGGTAAATTCCATCGTACATTAACTTAGGCTAATTGATATTTTTCAGGGCAGTCAAATAGCCAAAACGTGGAACTTTCATTGAGAAATTTAATAAAACATTCTATAACATAAAAATTTAATTCTTATCTATTGCCAATAAGAGATTGGTCCATGTAAATCCGATCCGATCCGTATAATAATACATAATTATAAGTTATTTGTTGAGTTCTACATGTGAATGAAGAAAAACACATCGGTTAGAAATTAAAAAAAAAGATTTGAAGTACTTATACATAAAATAAAATCACAATCAATTAATCTAGATTTTGGGACTTAAAATGGTATCTATTTTTATATATATAGATCATATACATATCATGTGACTTCTCAGGTGCAGATCTTCCCACCACTATGAAACTAATAATAATAATAAAAAAAAAGGGTTAAAATTTCTCTATAGCACAAACCTGAAAACAAGAATGTTTTGGGTAGCTTAAGCATGTTAGCAAGCCAATCCAAAACAATCATCTCTAGCTCAGTAGCAGCAGGTGAAGCAAGCCAATTGAACCCAACAGAATTAAAGCAGGTGCACAACATTTCTCCAAGAAAACCTGCAGTACTTACTGTAGCAGGAAAGAATGCAAAGAAATTAGGGCTTAGCCAATGAGTCATGCCAGGGATTATGTGATTTTGAATGTCTTCAAGGATAGTAGCAAACTGTTCGGGTCGGTACGGGGCGGTTCCAGGGAGGCAGGTTTGGAGGTAGCCAGGTTGAACCTGAGAGAGAACTGGATATGTTTCGACATTCTTGTAGTAATCTGCAATGAAATCAACCACTTGATGGGCTTGTTTTCTAAATTCTTCAGGGTCTAGTGGCTTGAATTGGCTAGTCTCTGGCAGGTTTGACTCAAGGCTCCCCATTTGAACTGAGGTTGATATACTTGCTTGGAAAGAAGAGTATTTATAGCAAGGAGGTGGTAGAGTTGATGCAAAATCAAGTGTGGCACGAGTAGAGGGATTTAGGGTCGCATAAGTAGATGTTGTAGATGTGAGACAAAAAGTGCATGCATGAAGAGGTTGCATTAAGTTTTGATGAGGTTGAGGTGATCGCTAGCGTACGTTTTCGAATTACCAATATTGAATGGCTTGGTACTGGAGAATCTGTACTGACCCTGTATACCAGAGGATTTATACATAAGAATATTTAACACTATTTTAATTCAAAAATCTAGAATAATTAGTCGTATTGTATATAAGCACCAAACTTCTCTTTTTTTTTAATGTGAGATAGTTATCACTCACGTGTAAGTTCGGCTCATTCGAATACAACTCTATCTCAATTCGAGTGCAATAATCAGAGTTTGAATCTTAATTTTCTTACTCAATCAAGAAAAAACAAGCAAAGTTATGGAAGTCTAACTAAAATTGTCGCTCATCCCAAGCCGAACCATAGGCTCTAATACCCTACTTGCTGGAGGAGATCTACATTGGAGACACACTCGAGCCTGCACGTGAGAGGATTTATACATAAGGATGTACATCATTTTAATTTAAAATTTTAGATTAATTGATCATGGGTCTATTTTGTATATAAAAAGGTTAAACTTTGTTTTTTTTTTTTTTTTGGTTCAATATGAGACGATTACCACTCACGTGTGAACCCAACACTTGAGCTGAAGCTTTATGAGTGATGAAAGTAGTTGGTAGTTAAGAGAGCAATGATTGTCGACTTGGTAAGATTTTGATTCAGACAAGGGAAGAGGATCATCACCTCTAGCCTAAGTTCAGACAGATTTTGTTCGTGCACTGGTTATTACGTATCTTATGTCATCTAAATTCCCAACTCTCTTAAATTAATTCCAATCAAAGAGGGTTTTACTTTAGCTATCATCTAGGAATCTTCATGCCGGTTACCACACAAAGGATGGGATGTAGCCATCTAAGGATAGGAGGAGAACCTACATATAATTGGGGTGACGCATATTACATAGAAAGATAGTGCAGCTTACTCGAAAACTCTTGAAAAGAAAATACAATTTAGTGGAGAAATTTTATAATATACTATAAATAACTAGTGATATATACGAGTAATTATTCAATGAATTCACTTTGAGAAAATATATAAACATATAAAAAAAATAAAAATAAAATTATATTCATATCCATAAAAATGATAAAATGATAAAAAAAAAAAAAACTAGTGGCATGTTTGATAAAATTTCTTCAATTTATTGTTAAAAAAAACTCACAAAACTTAATTTTTATTCAAAAGGTTATTATAATCTTTTTTTAAAAAAATAAATAAAAACTCTAATAAGATAAAATTAATTTTGTTCAAAATAAAAATAATAAGATTTAACTCGTGAAACGATTCAAAAATTGTTTATCTAGAATTTGAATCTTTCATTCTCAAGTAACATGATTTAACTCTACAAAGATCGTTTCATTCTTAGTGGGAAAATGATTGCTTCCAACGACTTTGATGGTTCATCGCACGACAACCATTATGTTCATGTCATTGTCACCCTTACATAAGAATGTGCTAATCTTTTTTGTATTATTCAAGTTTAATATTAATTCTCCTTGAGGCCTATCGTTTTTGAATTATTTATGGTGAACCACATGGTATGTACTTGTTTGATGGTAAAATTAAATGTTCTTTGATGAAAGTGATGTGATATGTGCTTGTTAGCTGATAAAATTAAATGATCTTTGATGAAAATCATACACTGATTTTTTGGTGATAATTGGTAAAAATTAAATGTTCTTTGATGAAAGCCACATGGTATGTACTTGTTTGATGATAATTGCCAATTAATTAATGAATGTCGTTAATCATTTTTAAGTACAATAATTCTAATTCAACCAAACTTCAATTAGATCTGCTCCACCAAGTTTTTTTTGGTTAAAGATCCAATATGTCATTCTCTTATTTCAAATGTCTTAATCGTGTTTATATATTAAATTTTTCAATTATCGTATCTTTCTATTCTTAATTATATCTATTTTTGATCTATTCAATCATTTTTTTAGACAAAAAAGACAACTTTTGACATTTTTTATTTTGTCATTTTTGTCTACATTGCTTGAAAACATCATCCAAGAGATCAAATGCAAACACAATTAAGAATAAAGAAATATGATAATTGAAAATTTTAATAAAGGAATACGATTAAAATATTTGAAACAGTAAAAAAATATCATGAACCTTAAAACGTTTTTTTTTCAACTTTAGGACAATTAGGTTTCTTATATTTTTTTTATTTTAGTAATTGTTACAACAAAAAATATAATGGTAATTAAGCCTAATGTGATATTTCCTCTTCTTTTCTTTTTTTTTTTTTAAAAAAAAACCTTCCTTCTCTGTCATTGAATATAAGGCAGAGGAAATCCCATGTCCTATGTGATCCAATATTTAGTTTGTACTTTCTTGATTTGATAGGCACCAAAAAATTCAATGCTTACGCTTACTCAAAGAATTACATGACTTCCACCGGATCACCGTTATTATCTCTTTAAAGAAGAAACGTCAGCTTAGACTATTGCAGGATCCAAAAACAGTGTTCACACTTCATAGTCCCTAAATAGTTGGATATTCGCATTATGTTAGGATAAGTGATCATTATATATATATATATATATATATATATATATATATATATTTATTTATTTATTTATTAACAAAATAATCAATAATATTAGTATAAAAAGTTTTTTTTTGAATAATTAAAAGGTTCTTTCAAAATATTATTTCAATTATTTTATTAAAAAATATTGATTTTAAAATATAAAAAAATAAATAATAAATAATTAGTGTTATATGTGCAAATACATAATTACTTTCCAACAAAACTAATGATATATATATATATATATATTTTTTTTTAAAATATATTAATTTTAGAACATAAAAAAAATAAACAACAAATAATTACATGACTTCAACCACGATTATATCTTTAAAGAAGAAACCTTAGCTTAGCCTACTGGAGTATCCAAAAGTAGTGTTCACACTTTATAGTATCTAACTAATTGACTACTCACGTTACGTTGTAATTGGATAACCGTCGTATATGTAAGATTAACGATTCATATGGTATAGTATAAATAAAAATTTTATTTTTCATAATTAATGTAAATCAAATTTATTTGCTGAGCAAAATAGTTTGATATATATATTAACAAAATAATCAATAATATCAGTATAAAAAGTTTTTTTGAATAATTGAAATGTTCTTTCAAAACATTATTTTAATTATTTTATTTAAAAAATATTGATTTTAAAATATAAAAAAGAATAAATAATTAATAATTAATGTTATGTGTATAAATACATAATTAATTTAATTACCAACGAACTAATTATATATATATATATATATATATATATATATATATAGAGAGAGAGAGAGAGAGAGAGAGAGAGAGAGAGAGAGAGAGAGAGAGAGAGAGAGAGACTTTAGAACATTAAAAAAAAAAAAAACAAATAATTACATGACTTCCACCATTATTATACCTTTAAAGAAAAACGTCAGCTTAGACTAACGCAGCATCCAGAAACAGTGTTCACACTTCATAATCCATAACGAGCATGCACCTAATTTATGGAGGATCACATAAGGAGTAAATTACAAATTAGTCCTTTTCTGTCTTAGAAACGAATTAATTAGTCTCTTTTTATTTTTAAAACTAATTATATAATCTCTGTAGTTTTAAATTTCTTGTAACTTAATTATTTTAATTTATTTTGTTTTTTTTCCTTAAAAATAGAAAAAAGATTAAAATAAATAAATATTATGAAAGGATTGAGGTGAAAAAATAGTATTTTTTGAAATAAAATAATATTAAATTAAATATAGTTAATAGTGATGAAAAGATTAAATAATTATTTTTTAAAATAAAAAAGTAATTAATTCATTTCTTGATAATAAATACTCATCACAGAAGAGGAATTTTTTTTCTTTTCCTTTTTTAATAATGAATGAATTTTTACTTATCAAAAACCAAGAGTACTATATATATATATATATTACAAATAATAAAGTATTTTTAAATTAACTTTTATGTCAACTGAAACTAATAAGTTTTTATTTTTTCTTCCATGATTTTAGTTTTTTTCTTCGAGTGATGCCATTCTTCTTTTGTATCCTGTCATAGAGATTAATTGTAACGTGGAATTCGAATAAGAGATTATTGGATGCTTATTCTAATTATATAGAGGCAGAATGCAAGTGCATCTTTTATTTTTGTACCATCTTTGGCGGATATCCTGTTGTTGTGAGCTGCTAATTAATCCATTGTTTAATTACATTGATTAATAGTCAGAAAATGTCACCCCTGTAGTTATAATTACACTCATTGCAATTAATATGGAAGGATTTACTGTAATGACAAGGTGAAGGACCACATGTATTGAATTGCGAACTTATCAGTTGCGATAAAGCAGCAGCTTTTCCTAATTTAAGCCTTGTCATTTCACCAAAGATGGAATGTTCAGATTAAAAGATTTTAATGCCTTTCTAATTTTTTTTTTAAATAGATGGATCGGGCCTTAAAATAATGAAACCCAATCAGTTAAAGGATAATAGAAATATAATCTTGGGAACTGTTGTCTTTTTTCGAGAATGTGATTTTCGGAATTGTAAAGAATAAATTAATTTTCTAATTTCAATAAATAAATAAATAAAATTTTTTGACTTTATAAGCTAACTATTCAGTTTTTTTTTTTTTTGCTAGAATTGATCATACTTAATTTAATATTATTTTATTTTTTATTTTATATATATATATATATATATATATATATATATATATATATTTGTTGATCTTCACATAATATCTATTTTATAGTTAAAAAAACAAATTAAAAAAATCATAAAGTAAACAAAAATTACTAATTAATTAATTTTTCAAAACTAAATGTATTAATTAATAATTTACGCGAATCCTAATCAGTGCACTGATGCCGTGTGCAACTTGACGACACGTTTGACATATGTGGCTGGAGACAGCTCATGGACAGATTCAGTGCCGTAGGTATGGAGGCGGAAGTTGGTTTTCTGATTAAAAGGAAAAAATAAAAACCCAAATTCATTGTGGGTTCGAATTTCTAAGGCCGAAAGCTGATTTTTTTTGAGGTTTGTTTGGTATGTGTAACTTTTAATTGTAGCTTTTTGTTCAATAATATGTTGTTTTGTTAAAATACTTTTATATGATATGAGATTCAAAAAGTCAAAATTTTTAATTTTTAATTTACAAGATGTGTCAGTTCGGCTCATTCGTTTTTGAAAACTAAAGAAACTAACTTATAAGTTACTCATGGGATCCAATCCACCACCAAGTTGAATTTTTTCTAAAAGATTCAAACCACACCCACTCTGCTCATATCCGAACTTGGAACATGCTTACAGAAAGTAGTCGGTATTGATAGAGAATGATTTTCTCCCTAGTTTAAGTCTTGATAAAGAATCATTTCTTCCATGATTTTATTTTTTTAATTGATTGAAATTCTTATATATATATATATATATATTGGTTGATTTAGTTTGTTTTCTATATAAAAAAAATCGTATAAATTCATACCTTTTAGGTAATGAAAATGCAACGAAACAAAACAATGGAAAGATTGATAAAACATAACAATGGTGATTCTAAACCATAATTAAATTCAAAATAATCATTATCTTTTCGGTTTCTTATAAAATCAGCCTACTTGATCTTGTGTACTTAGCTGATTATACATTTTGTTTAGTCCAAGTCAATCCGTGCCGCAAAACAAAGTTAGAACGCACATGCACGTATCAAACCAGATCAACTCCCTACCACGTAAGTCAAAGCAAAACAGAGCAAAATGAAAGGCAAACATAGACCTATGAGTCAGTGAGCGGACATGGCATCTTGTTTCGTGATTTTTAACGTATGAAAACTGCTAGTTTGGTCAGACCTTTTAGGTTTAAAAGATACTCTTTCTACTTCAAAGGCCCTTCTTTAAATGTTTATTCTCGTTCCTTTCTATTTACATTAACAGAGATTCCAGATTCTATTAAAAGTTGAAGATTCTGTCCTAAAGCGTAAGTCTTCAGGCCGCCGGAGGAGATCAGGGACTGACTTGCTTGAGACTTTTCCTCGCCTTGATGCCTTTCTTGTTCGTCTTTTATTTTTCTTTGTTTTTCATTTCTTTTATCAATGTATTGATGTTTATTTTCTCCAAGAAATTCTTGTTCTTTAAAGTTGAACATTCTATCCTAAAGGGTAATCTCTAAGTTTCTTTGTTTTTCATTTTTTTATATCAATGTATTGATGTTTATTTTGTCCAAGAAATTCTGGGCCTTGCAAGTTTTTGCTTCTTTTTTCTTGCAATTAGAAGTATATGGTGATTGAAGTTTGTAAAAAGTTGATTATTTTGCTGTGTTGATGCATTTGTATTCTTGCTGTGAGCATCATGATAAATGATGGGGTGTTTGAATAAGGTTATGAAATGGGCTTTTCACACTCCAATAATTGAAAGACCTATGTGTTGCTTTCCTTCCTTTTATTTTATTAGGGAGAACACAAGTTTTACATGATGAGAGGGGAAGAAAGTATAATGGGTCAAACTTCTTGCTGGTCATGGAAATATTATGTAATCCTCAAGTGGGTAGCAAATTCATATTTAAAAAGATTAGTTTCTTTAAAAATACTTAATGATGCTTGATTTCCAAGAGATTTATTTGGGCAAGTTTGTTGCAGGAGATATTTGAAAATAAGCAATTATGGCAGCACTTGATGGAAGTGAAGCTCCGGCTAAGCTTGAGGTTTGTGAGCAATTGTTTGATTGATTTTAGTAGGAAACTTTGATGGAAGGTAAAGTCTATGTTCTTAAAGAAATTTCTGATATGTTTGGGCCTTGTGCAGGGAAAATATGCTGCTATGGTAGTATGTTGGCTGCTTGGAATTGGTTGCCTCTTTTCGTGGAATAGTATGCTCACAATTGAAGATTATTATGTCTACATTTTCCCGGTATTTTCCTTCTCAATTTCTTGCAATTTTTGTTCTTTTCAGATTTTTTTTTATCTTTCCACATTGATGTATTGTCCATGCTTTAATTTGGATGTTAATCATAACATCTTTTTAAAAGTTCAGTCGATTGATTCTCAATTCCCTAAATAATTTCGCAGTTCTTTGTTAGTACAAATATAAAGGAGTTGTTCTTAAACAGAATCTGGTCTCAGGCATCATACATATAAAACCCACAATGATTCCTATATATACCTTGAATTCGGCCTTTTTGCCGATGACACTACTGAAACTTTCCAATCTTTTTTTATGTCACTTCAAATGGCAATTACCTGTAGTGTTCCTTAGAATTTTCATCTGCTCCAGAGAACTCAGTTCCTGTGAACTACGCTTCCATTTCCAGAATGGTGCCTGATGTTACTCTAAAAAGAAAAACAGCTAGACAGGTTCCTTTCAAAATACAATGCAGAAATCATGAATTTCTGGTACAAGCATTCATACTTTATTCATTGTTCGTTGATTTATTCAGCATTTATTGAACCGAAAGTCGACGCAGAATTTTAACGTGTGCAATGCTCTGTCAACTCCATTTTATTTCACAATTATCCACTTCTGTAATCTCTTTGCTGCAAATTTTATCAGGATATGAAATGCTGTAGACATCTTATTATGTTGTTGCTGATTGGATTGTCTTGATGATTGATTTTTTGACAATAGTTTTTGTTTCCCTATGCAGCATTACCACCCCTCTAGGATCCTTACTCTTGTATACCAGCCATTTGCACTTGGAACTATTGTAATACTTGCGTACAATGAAGCAAAGATCAATACAAGATTGCGGAACTTATTTGGATATGCCCTTTTCTTCATAAGCACTCTTTTGGTTTTAGTTGTGAGTGTTCTTCGTCTTTACATTTTCCACATATCTCATTATTTACTTCATTAATTATATGCAAAAAAAAACAATGTTTTGATCATTTTTTCTTTTGTTATGCTTCCATAGCTGGATTTAGCTACGTCAGGAAAAGGAGGTATTGGAACTTTCATTGGAATTTGTGCAATTAGCGGTGCATTTGGGATTGCAGATGCTCATGTGCAGGGTGGGATGGTTGGCGACCTGTCCTTTATGCGACCTGAATTTATTCAGGTCAGGATGCACTGTCAGCCTTGTGACATGTTTCATGTTTTTGGTGCTCCAGAAATGTTTGATTCTGGTTTGACTTGATGAATCTTTTTGCTTGTTTAAATTTTTTGCAGTCATTCCTTGCTGGTTTAGCAGCATCCGGGGCTCTAACCTCTGCTTTGAGGTTAATTACAAAAGCTGCATTCGACAATTCTCAAGATGGTCTTCGCAAGGGAGCCAGTATGTTCAATCCCCTTCATATAATTTTCATTTCAAAAAGTAGTAGTGAAAAATGAACCTCCTTTTCTTTTCCTGCAAAAATTTATCTTCCAATGATATTTCAAAAGTTGTCCCCATGCCCCCCCCCCCCCTCCAAAAAAAAAAAAACCAGTATCAAAGCTGTCTTTTGTTTGATATGTTTGTCCTTCAAGTTTACTAAAATAGTCTATGTTACTATCTCTCGCTTAAATTTCTATTTCTATCTCATTTAAGTTTCTTGCTTGCGTGGCATTTGAGAATTCTGCAATTCAATTTAAGTCACTGCTGGATGATCCCTTCTACAATGGAAGTTTCAACTTTCAAGCATGCTCACCGATACAACCTGAGTTATTCACAATACTCTTTGAATAATTCTTGATAAATTATATATTTAAGAAATAGTATACTCTTCAATTTCTGCCAATTCGGTTTCTATGGCTAACAGTGTTCCACCATTTATTGCAGTTCTATTTTTTGCCCTCTGTACATTTTTTGAGCTTCTCTGTGTCCTTCTCTATGCGTACATTTTCCCAAAACTGGCCATTGTGAAGTACTACCGCTCGAAGGCAGCCTCAGAAGGCTCAAAAACCGTTTCAGCTGATCTTGCTGCTGGTGGTATCCAAACATTACTCCAACCAGAAGTATACCTCCTTCCCTCGGTATAGATACGAAACAAAATGTTTATGGTATTTCCACCATCCTGAAGACCTTGTAATTTTTAACAGGCTGAGGAAGATCCAAAACAACTGGAGCGGCTGAGCAACAAGGAGTTACTATTGCAGAATATTGATTATGCAATTGATATGTTTCTGATATATGTGCTGACACTGTCTATTTTCCCTGGATTCTTGTCTGAAGACACCGGCTCGCACAGTTTGGGAGGATGGTAAGTCTCAGTTTAATTTGGTATCTTGAGAGTAAATCATCAAGAACTGTTCATTCAAGTTTACTTAATTCCTTCTATCTCCTAAACAACTAATAAAAATTAACCCTAGGGGTGTGTTTCTTTATGTGCTTGGAATCTCTAAATCTTGTGATGTTTCAGGTATGCGCTTGTGTTGATAGCAATGTATAATGTATGTGATCTAATTGGGAGATTCATTCCACTCCTGAAATTCTTGAAGTTTGAGTCTCGAAAAGGTCTGATGATAGCCATTCTCTCTCGCTTTTTGCTCGTCCCGGCATTCTATTTCACTGCCAAGTATGGAGACCAGGGCTGGATGATACTTCTAACATCTTTCTTGGGGTTAACCAATGGTTACCTCACCGTATGTGTTCTTACTTCTGCGCCAAAAGGTTACAAGGTTTGTTTGCTACATGATTCCTCATTAACATCTTCATAGTAGTTTTGAGTTATCCTGAGTAAAATTTATTCAAATAAATCTCTTTTTTGGGTTCACAGGGACCAGAGCAAAATGCGTTGGGAAATTTGCTTGTTTTGTTTTTGCTTGGCGGTATTTTTGCCGGGGTGACTCTTGACTGGTTGTGGCTTATAGGCAAGGGTTGGTGAATCCTGAACTTTGAATTTGAAGTAGAGTCTTTTTATAATCAGATTTATGGGATGGTGATTTATGATGAGATTGCAAAATGTAATGTTAGTCATTCATTCGAACTTGGTGTTATTCTGAGCCAATCCTTATTAAAGTCCCAAATGATGCTTCTTTGTACAGTTCTCCAAGAAAGATAGAAGAATTGATTGTTTCTGCTGTCTGTTTTCATTTTTGCTCCTGAAACTAGCTGATGGATCAGGCTAATCAATGACCAATTAGGCTTTTATTGTTATTTTTATCGAGAGGACGAAAGGATTGATGCTTGTTTTTTACAACCTTTTCTTTTCTTATTTTCAACAAGAAAATATCCTGACTCTTGGAAGCTTTTGTTTGCTTTTTCTTGCAAGTAGAAGCATATGATGACTGAAGCTTGTGTAATGTATTCATAAGATGGTAGCTAGTGTTTGGTTGCTGCAATTGGTATAATATTTTTCGGTCGCAACAGTTAGGTTTCCTCGAGACAATTTCACATATCGAGACAAAGTGCCTTCCTATCGTATATTAAATAGATTATTCGTATCCGAATTGGTGCGTTCATAAGAAATTTCTTTCTCATGACCTCCTCTAGGATTTGAATTCCCTAGATCATAACTTGGAGAGCAAACTCACCTATCAACTTAAACCTCTAATTAAGTTTGTTTAATAAATTTGAAAATAAAATTCAGATATCATGCCAACTATGGCATCCAAACATTTCTCCAACCAGAGGTATGAATCCTTCCCGGCGTATCCATACGCAATTTTTATGGTATTTCCACTATGCAATCCTGAAGAGCTTGCGATTTTTAACTAGGAGTTATTGTTGCAGAATGTAGACTATGCGATTGATATGTTTCTGTTTCATGTCCTGACACTATTGATAATTGAAAAAAAATCAATTAAATTGAAAAGAAGACGAAGATGATTAACTTATAAGAAAATTTAAACCTATATAGATTAAACAATTAGTTTTTGAAACAAGCGGGATTAATTAGTTAGTTTTTTTAAACTAAAAGGACTATTTATAATTTACTCCTCTAGAGCATGTGAATTCATATGCTTCGAATCCATCAAAAACTTAAATTAATCAAACTTTTCATTCAAAACTTTTTGGTTTTAGTTTAATAATCTAAGAGCCTAACCCCAAGATAATTAAAATCTAAAAGGATATTTTCTCACTTATAATTGAACATTAATATACGACCAACATACTCAGTCCTGGGGAACTGCAAGGTTCCTCCATCACATTGCTGTTAATTGCTGCCATCGAAGCCGATTCCTTTTATTAGTATTTAATTAATCATACTTGATTATTTAATTTTTCTTGCTAAATAGTCCTTAGAAATACCTTGTCTATGATCTTAATTGCTTTGAATTTACTAACACCAAACACATCCAATTGTCTCTACTGAAATCCATCAAAGTCTTGCAACTCAAAACTTAAATTTCATGCAATCTTCTTGTGCTACCTTAATTATTCATTCAAACATTGCCTTAAATCCAAAAATTATCCAAATACATCAAACCAATGTGAAAGACTTAAAAAATACAACATTTTTGAAGAAAAAACAAGTATGCTAATTAGTAAGATTGACAAAGTAGCAATTAATGCAAAAGCAATAAATCGAAAAGCATTAATCATGTTTCTAATCCTCCAGGCTACAAACAAAAGTCCTTAAAATTATCCTAAAAAAGCTTTTTTGGAGTCCAACGTATTCTCCTTACCTTGGATTTATACTTATCATGTAAGACTTTGTTTTTCTTTAATTTTGAGACATTTCATCTCTCATATGTATCGGGAGTAAAATAGTATAACAGATAAATTAGCTTATCATACATATTCTCTTTGAAGTAAAAATATTTATTTATTTATTTTTAATTTACTTTTCGAGATTAAGTTGTCTTTTAGACATGATAAATTTGATTTCTATAATTATAAAAATTAAGGTTATAACACGAGTTTGTTCTTAGGAGTTTAGACTTCCTTATCCCACAGTTTGTTTTAGGTAAAACTTTATTGTCCTCGTTATATATTTCTTTTTTTTTAATTAATCAATAAAATTTGTGAGTATTCTACCCCTGTTTTTTTTTTTTTTTTTTTATAAAAAAAAAGCTTTGGTTCAATTGAAGTACAAACTAATTCAAATATATACATAACCTTTATTTTTACAAGAAAAAAAATTCTATCCAACTCTATCTTGAAACCTCTTAGAACCATCAACCATGCCTGTACAAAAGTGGAAAAGAAAAAATTTGGTAAACTAAAAAGAAAAGAACTGATGTTTTTCTACCAAAGTGACAACAATCCCTGAATAGTAAGAGTTCCTCCTCGGACAAGATGTCAAGGAACAGAGTCTGAGAAAAACGAGCACAAATTTACAGAAGGCGAAAAGACAAAAAAAAAAATCCCCAATTAGCCCGTTTTAATACTAGTCTGTCTGCTAGCTTCACGTGATTGCCCTAGAACAAAATGTACCACCAAAAAAATTACAGGGTCTGAAGCCAAAAAGGACACTATTATATAGGCCGTGCACCCACCAGTCCACCACTATCCGAACAAAGAAAATAAAATCATTAGGACCAAAACAAGAAAACAAAAAGCAGACCATGATGCTGTCGATCTTGAGGAAGAAGATGACTGTGTCTTCTCAAATTGTAGTGAATCAACAGCCAATGGCATGTTTTCTTGATCAGGGCTGCACTTGGATTCATGCACTGGTGGGTTTGTACTGTACATTATGGCTCTTAAAACAGCAGAAACTGTTGGGATGTACTCAGTTTTGTTTCTTGCAAGTAGCCAAGTTAGACCCATTAGCTGGCAATCCCTGTTGAACATTTTGCTTGCCCTTTCATCTCTTGTGCTCTTGTCTTGTGTTCCATTCTTGGCCTTCAGCTGTAATAAAAATCACATCCAAGGTTGTTTTAGCCATAAGAGAATAATGAACAAGATTAAATATCAAAGAGGAAAGGTTATGTGTTTGTAATGTGAAAGGTTAGGTAAAGAGGGCACATGGGAATGGGTAGGGTTACTTTCTGAGGGTTTGTGCCCTAGAAAGCTTCGGTGAGTTTCACAAAACAGCAAAAAGAAGACCCCTGAAAGTAACCTACACTGCCCCACTTCGCTTTCATGCTTCTGCCACTGTTTGTTCAAGCGCTACTTTCACCAGGCAATTGGCATTAGTCAATACTTACCTAAAAGCCTAATTATTATAAGCATAGAAGCATATACTCCTGTTTTGCTTGGAGTATAAAGTTCATTGAACCATCAACAAAAGATGAAAACTGGCCCTTGAAAATTCCCTCATAGTCTTATTAGTCCTTTTCCTACTAATTTGCATAGAGGAACAAAATTGATTATTACTCATACAAAATCAAAAAAGTTCCCACATGAACACTAGCATTGAAAGTGTTTTTTTTTTTTTTTTTTAAACACAAAAGAAACAAAAGGCATCATAGATGTGCTAAATGACACTACGAACATTATGAGGAAAATGTCCTTAAATTGTTGTGAAGTCCCCTAAAAATATGCCATGAATTGAGAGTTGAGACCCCTCATTTGCAAAGTAAAAAAAAAAAAGGCTTAAGATCACCAACCCCAGAAAAAAGAGAGTCTTGGAAATGAACCAAAAACTCCCTTTTTTTTGTGAAAATTAATAAATAAACAAGAACCCACACCTCAAAAAAAGAAAAAGAAAAATCATAAAACCCCACAAAAAAAACCAACCTTAATAAATGAAGTAATTTCTCCAATGAAGAAACATTCATCACAAGGAGCAATAAATGCAAAATTCCTTAGAAAACTGACCTTTTGGAGGGCACCAAGGCACTTAGTACACCCCGTATAAGAGGAATTCTTACAATTCCTCTCCAAATTCCTTACAGCAGCAGTAGGAGTTGCATTGTGAAACCCAGAACTGACATTAAAAGCGGCAGGACAACTAAGTGAACTAATCTGATGAAGCCTAATCCCACAGAAACACAGTATAGCATCACAGCTAGCATTCGGCTGTGGCAACTTCACATTTTTACTCAGAAGTGCACTTTGTAACGAATTCACACATTTTTGTGAATCATCAGGCATCATTGGCAAATCAGGTGATGATGATGTTGGTGCTGAAGCTTGGACTTGAAGGGCCGACCTTGCATGAGCTGCAAAGAGCCAAGCTGCAAGAACTGGACAGCACCGGCTCCTGTCAAGGTCTCTACCACATGCATCATTTACACCACCAAAAAGTTCAGCTGAGAGGTCTAAGTGGCAAATTTGAGACTCGGTTTGGACTGGAAATGCAGGGACTGTGTTGGGGTTCGAAGAGTCTCCTGGTTTTAGAGGTTGGTTTTGGCCAGAGACTGGCTCAGCTAGGAAGCTTGAAAGGGAGGGAGTGAATAAGGATGTAAAGAGAAAGATTGTGAGTAAAGTTTGCATCTTTAGTGAAATCAAGAAAAGGGCTTTACTTTTTTCTTGGCTCTTGTTGTTAATGATGGTGTTAAGTAGGTAATGAGTGTGGAAAGATTTATGTGTGTGGAGAGATTTTGATTGGGAAATGAAGATGGGTTAAAGAAATGATGGGATTTTGAATCTTTTGCTTTTTAGAAGCTTTATCAAAGACAATGAAAAAGAGATTTCCTTTATAGTTCTTGAAAATTATTGAAGGAAAAAGGAGAGTGCATATGCTGTAGATTCAAAGAAAGAGTGGTTTCAGTGAACTGTAGTGGTCTTGTCGTCTGGTTTAGAAAGATGGGTTTTTCTTTTTTGTGTTGAGAAGATGGAAACCTTGAAATCTAGAAGAAAAGAAACAGAGGAAAAGGAAGTGAAAGATTCGTGGAAGATGAGTTGGAAGAAGCGTCTCTTTCTTGTTTATCTCTTCACCCTTTACTTTTTATTTTGTGTAAGAAATGAGACATTACGGATTCATGAAAAAGGGCAAAGATCTTCTCCTGCTCCCGAAACCAAGCGATCATCCATTATTGTATATATATATATATATATTTTTTTTTTTATAAACTCATTATTTATATCTTATATTTTTTCCTATTCATCAAAAGAATCTTTTCGTTATCTATTCGATCACATGAACTCTTGTATTTTTCATTTCAAACAATTTATTACAATTTGCCAAAATTAAAAATTTATCTCAACAAATTGAATGATATTTTTCACAATTTGAGTCGTTATAATCAACTTTTCTTTCATTTTCTTTAAAATTATCAATTGCTCTTACCATTTCCATCCTCCTTGTTGCGTATTGTTTTTTTATATATATATAAATTATAATTAGTTAAGAGAAATCAAAATACAAAAGTTTAATTGATCAAAGTAATAACAAATGAGGTTTTTTTATGAATTTATGAGAAGACATAGCACAAATAATAGGTTTTGTCAAAAAATTTATTAACGAGCTTTTAGTTTTTTTTATTTTTTTTAATCTTAAGATATTTCAAGTTTAAAATTTTAAAATTTAAATTAATTTTTAATTATGTAATCGAATACATAAAATAAATATAGTTATTTAAATAATTTTTCATACATACATACTATATATATAATGACTGGAAATAAAGATTGATTATTCAAGTGATTAGAGTTTTTTTTTTTTTTCCCCTTCCGTTATAGTCAATTCCGTTGTATTGCTTTTGTTTACGGAAAAGGCCAAAAAGAGAGGGACCCAATGGAAAACAGAGGAGATTCGTTTGGTTGTGATAGAAAGAAAGGAAGGATAGAGAGGAGAGTTTGATTAGAAGGGATGTATGAGCTTTTGGCAACTTGTAATGTCCTCTTCCTTTTTATTCTCTAACTCATGCTGGCTGTGATATGATATGAAAGGATATAGTATATTTGATCCTTGTACTCTTGAAACTTTTTCAATATGGTCATTTTATGTTTTCTTGTTAAGTTGGTCATTCTACATTAGAGATATTCATAATTTAGTTTCTCTACCTATGCCCCTTTTCAACTCATTTCCTTAGACAAAAACTCATTTTTTTTTCCTTTTTTTTGGATGATAAATATTTCTTAAAACATGAAGCATAATCAAACCCATGTTTGAATTGAAATTGAAATATTGATGCAACTTCTTTCCTTTTGGATCAAATAGATTAATATCCAAAAGAGGTTGATAATAAGTTTCTTCAAAATTGAATATCTATCTTTGGTAGAATTGTTTTGGAATCGTCCTTGATAAAATAAATAACTTTGGAACAAATGGATCATATCGAATTGAAAAATAGAAAGATTTTTATAATCTTTGATAGAAAATTTTATAATACATAATGAGTAATTAGTAATATGTACAATAGTTACTCATTGGATCCACTTTGAGGAAAGAGGTAGACACATAAAAAAATAATGAAATTACATTCATACCCACTAAAAGTAATAAGAAGATTTTCAACATACGTTCAATTTTTTTTATTTTCCTCTCTCTCTTTTTATGTATTATAAAATTTCTTTTCATTGGACACTTTTTTCTTCTAATTTACCGTTAGTTCTTGTCGACATGTTAAAAGATAGACACACGTTTAGTACACATCAAGTCATTTCTCAAGAATTAACAATAATGCATGGAAAGATCACATTAAAAAAACAATAAAAAATAATTAATTAAATAAGAGAGTTCTTATGAAGAAAATATCAAGAATATAAATATTAAATATAAGATCTCGAAATATTTAAAAATTAATAAGATTTTAAATTAAACTTTAATTGGTTTGTATTCAAAACACTAGAATTAAATAACAATTGAAAGTAAAAGTGACGTTTGATACCGCAGGCATGATTTTGTAATTGAATCCGGCGATTTTTAATTACCAAAATAGACAAAATGATGTTTTTTTTTTTTAAATGCACCTAATTCGAACTTTGGAATAAAACATAATAAAAAAAATTGATAATAAAAGTTAAAAAGATAGAAAACAATAAAATCTTCTAGTTTTGAGATTGTTTTGGAATATACCTTAATTTTCGGGAATCAAGTTTTTTCTTCATAAATAAAAACTCAAATGAGTTACTCAAATATTTTTTCTCCTAAAAAGATGTATCCTCACGTTTTTTTTTTTTAAGGGAACAAAAACCTATAGTTTATTGGTTAGAGAATTAAGGGGACCCATGCAACGCAATTGATGCTTGCCAGATTTTGGGCCTGGAAAATGAAAAGACGTGACCCTTGAGAACTGATCATCAAAATCAGCACAAAATCGGATGGTTTGGGTAAAAATTAACAATCTTTTGGATGATTCCATAAAAACAGAAACATTGGGGACCATTTTTTTTATCATAAGTAGATGACATGACGTGGAAGTCCTTGCCATTCCTTGCATGTGTTCATGCGTGTCTCTCTGTGATGGGCCACAAAAAACAAAACAAGACTGAAAAATGGGAAATGTGCATTCAATAGAAGAAGGAAATAATTGTTGAATATAATTACCATAAGCTTAGGATCCCTTTTCAATTACCAAATGTACCCCTCCAAAAAGAATGCTTTGCGAAGAATTCCTCCTCCTTTCTAGTTTGAAATAGTTTTTATAATGCATGGATAAATCACAAAATTAACTTGCTAGAAAACTTATTTTGACTAATTAATGAGTCATAAAATCAACATATATATGGTATTTTTTTCGTCTTAAAAAACTAATTATCTTTCTATTCGCATCTGTTTGAAATATTTATCCGAATAAAACTGTAAGTATGATTAAAATCCATTATGTAAAAAAATAATATTTTAAAAAATATTAATAAGGCATAAAAATTAGTAATTTTTTTAATCTGTGTAAAAAGTTCAAAAATTACATTTTTTTAAAAAATAGAGAAATTATTATTTAACAAACAAATGTTTGAAAAGTGAATAATCAAAATATATGGAATACGTTATGTTATAATTTTTTTAATTTATGTATAAAGTGATAAATAGTAAAATTTGAACTCGATGAGTATTAATTGATTGGTTAAATATGAAAAACTAGTATGAAATTACTATCATTAAAATGTGATAATTATTATTTATTTTTAAAATCATGTTAACCTAATTTTGTTTTGTGTTATGAAATTCAAATGCAACTCGATTGCTCAAATAATGTTGCCTTGGCTTGATGGGAAATCCACCCCTAGTACAATAAGCAAGTGAAAAGAGAAGGGCATCCTAGGCATTGGACATTTCTCTGTTGAACTCTTTCGAGCAGCAATTTCTGCTTGACTTGATCAAGTGGCTCTGCTTAATTAGCTGCTTCTCTGTGACACGAGTCATGGCTGACAGCCCAAGACAGCACAACTTTTCTTTAACAAAAATTGCTTTTGGGATAACATAAAGTATGGAAATTGGCAGGACAGTTTTGTTTTCTTTATTGGGTGAAAAGAGGTTTTTTAAGCTTCAATCCACATGGTATGCCCACTCCTATAGACAAAAGTCATTGTACATGTTATTGTTCATTGTAATAAATCATTTTAAACATCTGTAAATTAAATTTTAAAAAATAAAAAAAAAACGTATCAATCACTAATTGATAGTATTATAAAAATAAAAAAATGAAATAAAATATTTTAATCAAACAAAAAATAAAAAAATAAAAAGTCTTAATAAAAAATACGCATAGTCTAAATACGAAGAAAATCCCATTTTAAATAAATAGATAATATATAAATAAAATCATTCTTGCCATGGAGACAAAAGTAAATTAAATTGCCCCATTATTCATGAAAATCGAGGAGGCAAAAACATAATAAAGACGGAAGCGTAAATGAATTGATAGCATCAATCTCTTTTCTAAAGAAAATGTTATAATTTTGTATTTCTTCACCCACAAACTACAAGGAAAAAAAAACAAAAAGAAAAAAATGCTACATAAAATATAATCAAAATACATGTTTGACAACTGTCATCCAAACCAACAAATATTCTCCATTTTCAAACTAATATTTCTGTATTCCTTGCATATTCCATTCCTACAACGGACAAAATTTTCCACATAAAAAAAATTACTTATTTATTAGGATAAAAAGGTTCTATTAGATTGGAAGCCATAGAATAAAAAATAACAAATTTTTAAAAACATTAACTATAAGGATTGAATCCTCAACCCGACCTATAAATCGATGCTTACTTATTAGAAGACTATTACCTTGTAGTTGGATAAATTATAAAATTAAATTGCTAGAAAACTTATTTTGACTAATTAATGAGTCATAGAATTAATGAATATATGATATTTCTTCTGTCTTAAAAAAACTATTTATCTTTATATTTATATCTATTTAAAATGTTTGTCTAGACAAAACTTTAAGTCATTTTTTTTAAAAGACTTCTGATTAAAGTTCATAATGTAAAAAATTGTTCAAATATTGTTTAAATTGATATTTTAGAAAAATTTTAAAAATAATTGATATAACATAATAACTAATAACGTTTTTTTAATCTATGTAAAAAGTTAAAAAAT